CCTACCAAGAATTTCAGACAGCACGAGCACGTGACCTCCTATGGCATCAGCACGTGCTGCCCCCCCAGGCTGCATCAAACACCTACCAATGCCCACAAGCCCCATGTTTTGTCTATGGCCCACCCACCCATTTACCCGCGCACCCATGCTGGGAACCCACCCAGCCACCTACCAATGCTGAAGAGCCTCTGAGGAATCTGTGAAGGCATCAGCACGTGCTGCCCCAGGTGCCGGTTCGCGAGCCCCAGCGCCAGGTGGCACGCTCTGACTGGTCCACGTGGCACTTCAAAGCGCACGTTGAAGAGCTGGCCGCGGATGAAGCGGCGCTGGAAGTCGGGGTGAAAGCGCAGCATGGCGCTCTCCCTCTCCACCCTGTGCACGAAGCCCTGGATTAGGGAGAGGGAGTGGATGGGAGATGGGAGACGGGACACCTCATTGCGGCACCTCGTTGAACGCCCCCCTCATGGGGGCACCTCAAAGCGCACGTTGAAGAGCTGCCCGCGGATGAAGCGGCGCTGGAAGTCGGGGTGAAAGCGCAGCATGGCGCTCTCCCTCTCCACCCTGTGCACGAAGCCCTGAGCAACGAGAAGAGGTGAGGGGGATTGGATTGGATAGGGGAAAACGGTGATGGATGGAAGTCAGTCTGTGTGGAAATCGGGGTGGAAGCGCAGCATGGCGCTCTCCCTCTCCACCCTGTGCACGAAGCCCTGGGAGTGCAGAGGAGAGGAAAAGGGGGGATCGATTCATGGCAAGTGGTCATCAATGGAAGTCGGGGTGGAAGCACAGCATGGCGCTCTCCCTCTCCACCCTGTGCACGAAGCCCTAAGCAGAGGGAGCATAATGTAGGATTGGATTCCATGAGGGAGAAAATAGAGATGGATTGAAGTCCAGGTATTACCCAATGCGCCACCAACATACCTGATACTCAATCCGCCTCCGTGCTCCCTCCTCGTTCGCAAAAGTCAGCCAGCCCAGGCACCGTCAGCTGGTAAAAGCAAGCTTCTTTCCCCTGCCCCCTCCTTTCACCTTGCAGCAACCCACAACAAACCTCATACCATTACTCAACGCGCCTCCAACATACCTGATACTCAATCCGCCTCCTTGCTCCCTCCTCGTTCGCAAAGGTCAGATACACCCGATCGCCAAACAGAACAGGCGGGCGTTTCTCAGTCAGCCCAGGCACCGTCAGCTGGAGATAACAAACTTTCTTCTCCCACCCCTCTCACCTTGCAGAAACCCGCAACACACCTCATACTATGACCCAATGCGCCACCAGCATACCTGATACTCAATCCGCCTCCGTGCTCCCTCCTCGTTCGCAAAGGTGAGATACACCCGATCGCCAAACAGCACAGACGGGCGTTTCTCAGCCAGCCCAGGCACCGTCAGCTGGAAATTGCAAGCTTCCCCTCGCCCCCCTCACCTTGCAGCAACCCACAACACACCTCATACTATGACCCAATGCGCCACCAGCATACCTGATACTCAATCCGCCTCCGTGCTCCCTCCTCGTTCGCAAAGTTGAGATACACCCGATCGCCAAACAGCACAGACGGGCGTTTCTCAGCCAGCCCAGGCACCGTCAGCTGGAAATTGCAAGCTTCCCCTCGCCCCCCTCACCTTGCAGCAACCCACAACACACCTCATACTATGACCCAATGCGCCACCAGCATACCTGATACTCAATCCGCCTCCGTGCTCCCTCCTCGTTCGCAAAGGTGAGATACACCCGATCGCCAAACAGCACAGACGGGCGTTTCTCAGCCAGCCCAGGCACCGTCAGCTGGAAATTGCAAGCTTCCCCTCGCCCCCCTCACCTTGCAGCAACCCACAACACACCTCATACTATGACCCAATGCGCCACCAGCATACCTGATACTCAATCCGCCTCCGTGCTCCCTCCTCGTTCGCAAAGGTGAGATACACCCGATCGCCAAACAGCACAGACGGGCGTTTCTCAGCCAGCCCAGGCACCGTCAGCTGGAAATTGCAAGCTTCCCCTCGCCCCCCTCACCTTGCAGCAACCCACAACACACCTCATACTATGACCCAATGCGCCACCAGCATACCTGATACTCAATCCGCCTCCGTGCTCCCTCCTCGTTCGCAAAGGTGAGATACACCCGATCGCCAAACAGCTCAGACGGGCGTTTCTCAGCCAGCCCAGGCACCGTCAGCTGGAAATTGCAAGCTTCCCCTCGCCCCCCTCACCTTGCAGCAACCCACAACACACCTCATACTATGACCCAATGCGCCACCAGCATACCTGATACTCAATCCGCCTCCGTGCTCCCTCCTCGTTCGCAAAGGTGAGATACACCCGATCGCCAAACAGCACAGACGGGCGTTTCTCAGCCAGCCCAGGCACCGTCAGCTGGAAATTGCAAGCTTCCCCTCGCCCCCCTCACCTTGCAGCAACCCACAACACACCTCATACTATGACCCAATGCGCCACCAGCATACCTGATACTCAATCCGCCTCCGTGCTCCCTCCTCGTTCGCAAAGGTCAGATACACCCGATCGCCAAACAGCACAAACGGGCGTTTCTCAGCCAACCCCGGCACCGTCAGCTGGTTATAGCAAGCTTTCCCTCCCCCCCCCCCCCCACCTTGCAGCAAAGCAACCCACAACACACCTCATACTATTACCCATTGCGCCTTCAACACACCTGATACTCAATCCGCCTCCTTGCTCCCTCCTCGTTCGCAAAGGTCAGATACACCCGATCGCCAAACAGCACAGACGGGCGTTTCTCAGCCAGCCCTGGCACCGTCAGCTGGTAAAACTCTCCCCCCTGGAGACTCCCGCAGGGCAGCACAGGGACTCCCTTCATGTCATAGTAACGAATGTCCGCCTCCATTTACAGCTCCTCCACGTGTAACAGCAGCTCAAACCGCTTCTTGTACGTGTCTAGCGTCACGGGGCCCTCAAACCCTGGTAACTGCATCTCCCCGTGATGCATCCCTTCGTACGTCTCCCGAACCCACTCGGGGATTCCGAACCACGAAATTTTAGCCAATTGCTCGCCGGCACGTTTCCAGCCCTCGGGCTCGACACCTGGCAGGATTTCAGCGGGCGACTCCTCCTCCTGCCGCGATTTCCGCTGCTGCGGCTCAAACGGCGCCGTGGGAGCCATTGATTTGGTCACCTGGTCCTCGACCAAAATGTTCAGATACCGTCCGATCAGGAAGTTCTTGAAGTTAAACACCAGGATGGCTTTAAGAACCCCAACGGACGAGGGTTTGATTCTTAGAGTCAGCCTGTACACTTCATTTGGCCGAACGACGATACCATTTCTCGGGACTGCTTCGCCTGACCCGATGGAGTAGCCTGAGAAGCCGAATTTGATGTCTGGATTTTCACCTGCGAGCTTGCAGGAGGACAGCAGCTGGGCTTCAGTGTGTCGATTTGTGATAGTAATGAAGCCTTCTAAAGTGGATCCTAGATCCAATTTTACAAGCTGGGTCTCGGCACTTCCTCCTGCTGCTGCTGCTCCTGCTGCTGCTGAAGGTTGCTGCAGTGACGCAAACGGGTAGCTTATATCGATGCCATATTTCCCCCGCTGGACATAGTCACGCTGATCACGAAGCTTCCTGGCAGCAACTCGCGCCTTGTGAGTCGTATCCGACGAGCAGTGCGCCTCCAGCTGATGGAAGAAATCGAATAAAATCTCGCACGTCGGGCAGTGAAATTTCCCTCCCGCCTTGCTTCTCTGCAGTGTGGCGTAGTGTCGTCTTCCCGTCAGGTGCCTCTGCAACTGCCAGGGGTTTGGACAGGTGACATCACAGATCCCGCAGCGCCGATCCTGGAATTCAGGTGCTTTCGCAGGTAGAGGCACAGCACCTCGGGCTCTAACCGGAGCGCCTGATCTCTCCCGCCACGTCACCACGCCTTGCTGGAAGATCGCCATAGAGTGCTTCGATAAAAGGAAAAACACCAGCTGATTCGGTAAGACAACAGCTCTGCCAGGAGACTGACAGAACTGCTGGTGGGCCGCGCCTAGCTCCGCGCGGGTTCGCGGCCAGAGGTTGCGGCTCCCAAGGTACTGACAGAACTCGCGAAGGTAAGCGGACACCGAGGCGGAATCTCGCGACGCCATGGATGCTGCTGGTCGCCGACCGCGAAACCCGGAGAGCAAGAGAGCAGAAGAGCTTGCAGTCCTTGTATGTAGCAGCAGTCCTAATTTACGACTGTAGTCATTAAACGAGAGAGATCTAGAACATTACTAGCGAGAGCGACGGCAGGAGCGAAATCTGAGGCAAGAGTGGAGCTCGGACTGGGCCTGAACGAAAACGGGTGACAGGGGTGGCCAGTTCAAATAGAAAACTGCGTATGATTCGCAACGGCTCGCACGCTCGACGAGGGCTCTCAACGGCTTGCACGCTGCTGATCTTGCTCGATAAAAGGCACTCTCCAATACTAACCAGAAAGAACATTCCCAATCACCACAGGATGTTCACGAGACTGGAGCATGCTTGATCCCTGGTGACCAACAGGAAGTGGCAGATGGTGGGAGAGAGAGACCACCACCTTAGGGGTCAGGTGGGAGGAGCGGAGCTATGAAAAAGAAACCTAGATTACAGTTGCCCCTTTCGCCCCTTCTGTGCTCGGAAGGAATCTCGACTCGAGGATGGACGACTGTTGCCAGCCTCCCAGGGGATGGATTTGGCGGGAACACGGTTCAGCGAGGAAGCGTCAACCTCAAGGCGCAGAAAGATTCCTCGCGAATCATTTCGTCAAGGAGCTGATTATACTCGCGAAGAATTTGCAACATCAAGCAGAGTTACTCGCCACATTAGGCATCTGGTCACAGACTGTAAACCCAGTCGGGTGTATTCATGGAAAAAAAAATACTATACAGAAATGTTGTGGTTTATGGCCCAACTTCCAGCATCCAATACAAGCCATTAGAAGAATAATTCTGTAGCCGTTAATTCTGCACAACTTGGCCCAGTCACACGTCAATGATGGGTCCACCGATCACCTCAAACCGTGCCCACTAGATAAGGAGACCAGCAATCAGAGCCAGAGGTAGCAGCCAATGTGCACGATCAACAGCCAGACCCCCTGCCTTGGGCGGTGGTGGAGGTGGGGAAGGGGTGGGTGTTGGCTGTCCTGGTGTCGACGAAGGGGGTGGTGGGGAACTGGTGCTGCCTGTGGGAGGTGAAGAGCCCGAGGGTGGCGCTACAGGTGGTGTGGCAGGTGTTGCTGGTGCTGGTGCTGGTGCTGGTGCTGCTCCTTCCACCTTGCAGGAGAAATCGACAACCGCCGATCCCCTGAAACCAGCAAAAAACACACACTCTAGTTCGGGCGACGGCGTTTCACTGAAATGCACATTGTACGGTGTTTTGATGTGGCAGAGCAAAACAAGAGATCCAGCAGGAGAAGCTAAACATGGAATTCGACACTCTGGTTCGGATTGGTTACCTGAAGGGGCCGTGGTAGAAAAAGGAGGTGGAGCCGTCTGGTGAGGAAGCATAGATGATTGCAGAGGGGCCAGACAGCTGCACAGGCACGTTCCCTGTGCCCTCGGTGCGCGAGAATCTGCAGCCGAGCACCACCAGTGAAACATGAGATTGGTAACAGCCACATCAGAAAAGTGTGCGCAAATTGTACACCTGCTCGATGTTGCAACGTGGTGCTACATGTTTAATGTTACAGCTTAGGTGTTACAACTCTGTTGTTATAGCTTTGGCATTCCGTCCTGATGTCCCACCACCATCGCTAGCATCACTACCATTCTCGCATGCACTGTGTTGTGTCAGTTATTCCCCGTTACAACCCTCACTCACTTGATGTAAGTCGAGTCGCCATTCGCAGTCACAGACGTGTCGCCAAGCTTGAAAGAAGTGGTTGGGTTCTGACCGCCGAGTATCTTGGAAGAGAGCGTGTATGCTTGCACAGTGGCTGGATCACCCACGTTGCCCACCACGGCGTCACTGCCAGACATTCTGCCGTCCGTTGACCAACCCACTGCCGCCCAGCCAGGCGCGGTGGACTCTAGAAGGAGGTTGAGTGTGGTTGAGTTGGGTGTCATCCAGTGGAGAATGAGGCTGGGAGCGGTGTGGTTTGGGGAAGGGGGAGGGGGGGGGGAGGGAGAGGGGGAGAGGGAGAGAGAGGGAGAGAGAGAGAGAGAGAGAGAGAGAGAGAGAGAGAGAGAGAGAGAGATTTGGAGAATGTTCATTGTTGCAAAAGTGGGAATGAGCGTGGAACCCTAAGACACTGAACAATCCCGGGAAAATGGACAGAGGGGAAGGTGACACTTTTGAGAATTCCCAAAAGGAGGAGACTGGGGCTAGTTTCAACATCAGTGAACGCACGAGCCAATCGCGATTCCTGGCAGTGTCCACGTGGATGGGTGGTTCCACGTGGATAGTAATACACGTCAAGCTGCGTCAACAGACTTGCAATCTGGCGGTTTTTTATGTATCCTATGCAGGGTCCGCAACCTTGTAACCTTGTAAGTGCTTCTTTAAACGCTAACCTAGTACGCGCTTCTTGCAAAGAGCCCGCAAGCGCCCGTCTCTATCACGAGTACCAAGTAATCTATAATGGAAGCGGCGCGAAGCATTGATTTGATTCGACGCACCCCGTTATGCTCTTCGCGGCGCCCCGAAGAGCGACGCATAAGAAGCGGGAACGAAATGGGCGACATGGGTGGAATGGGTGTCGTCAGCTGAACTCACGTGTCGCCGAGTGGCACCGCGACGTTGTATCCTGCGATCGACGACGCGACGCATGTCTGCGCCGCTGCTCTCGGCGCGAGATGCGCTCCGAAGGAAGCCACGAGCAGGATCGCGACGAAGGCTGGCGCCACCGACGGAGTTCTGCCAGCCATTGCGCTGCGTGCCGAGTGCGTGTTACAACGCTCACGGCGGTGCTTGTGTGGGTGAGAGGAATGACTTGATCAGGTTTGCTACTTTGAATCGGGCTTGGTGTTCTTCTGATCGCTTGGTGTTCTTCTGGCTGACCAAGTCATTCCGCTCTCTCGTTCTTGGCCACAAAATTCAACTGGTCGGTGTGGCTCCAAACCGGGTGCTTGCAAGTGATTGGCTGTTGCAAAAACAGCCATTCGCCCAACGAACCTACAGCTACACGCTTTCGCACAACACAGTGTCTACAAATAAAAATAAAAAACAACCAACCCATAGTATTGGTTTACTGGTATGTTCCACCCTTATGGCACCTGCTTCTCATCCTTCAGCAGTTTCGAAACGCCGGTCAGTGTGTTAGCATCAGAAGTTTTGAGGCTGCTTCTGAACTGTGGAGCGACACGAATATCCGTCACATCGGTCTCTCCAGACTCCTCCAACCAACCCGCATCCTTATTCCCTCCCCACCCCACCATCCAGCTCTCCTCTCCTACCACGTCGGAATTTCCTTGCCCTTGATCTTCCTCGTTCTTTCTTCCCTCTCCCTCTCCACCTGATCCACCCCCCTCGTCCTCATCCCCCTTTCCCTGATTATTCTCACCCCCGCTGCTGCCTTCGCCAGAATTGCTCACACCACCTCCTTCCTCCTCATCGCCCTTTCCTCCGTTATCCTTAATCTCACTGCTGCCACCGCCAGCATTACTCACACCACCGCCCGAATTTCCCCCAACAGACCCTTTGCCACTGCTTTGGTCACCACCACTGCTTTGGTCACTGCCACTGCTATGGTCACCACCACTGCTTTGGTCACTGCCACTACCTGCAGCAACAGGGGCAGAATTCTGCCAAGCATCTTGCGCTTCAGAATTTTCCCCCACAGCCCCTTCGTCACTGCTTTGGTCACCGCCACTGCTTTGGTCACTGCCACCACCTGCAGCAACAGGAGCAGACTCCTGATGATCATCTTGCTCTTCACCTCCTTCCTCCCTTTCGCCATTGTCACCCTCACTGCTATCAACCTCAGCAACAGGGGCAGACTTATTCTTGTCCTCCTGCTCCGTTTCCCCATCCCACTGCTGCTCCCCTCCCTCCTTCTGCTCTGCTTCCTTCTCAGCTTTCCTTCTCTTCTTCTCCTCCTTTCGCTTCGCCTTCTCTGCTTTTCGTTCCTCCTTCTCCCTTTTCCTCCTTGCCTTCTCTTCTGCCCGTTTCTTCTTCTCCTCCTTCCTCCTTGCTTTTCCCGCTGCCTTATCCTCCTTATTGCCTTCCCCATTATCACTCCCTTCGGAATCCTCATTGCCTCGTCCATCTACGCTGCTTGATCCTTCCTCCCCACTGGCTTGCGAATCACTGTTCCCTCCCTTATCCTCCTCATTGTCATCCCCATTATCATTCCCTCCCTTATCATCCACACTGTCTTCCCCATTATCACTTCCTCCTGTATCCTCAAGGTATTGCCCATCAATGCCACTCCCTCCTCCCCCCTCACTGTATTCCCCATCACCATTCCCAGCCTTATCCTCCTCATTGCCTTCCCCATTACCACTCCCTTCCATACCCTCCTCATTACCTTCCATATTACTACTCCCTGAAGCATCATCCCCACTGCCTGTAGAGTCTTCTCCATTCCCCTCCTCCTTCTCATCTCCCATCCCACCCCCCATCCCATCCCCCGTCCCACCTACTTCCCCATCTCCCTCCCCATTCCCCTGCCCATCTCCTTCAGATTCGTCACTTGAGTCTTCCCCATCGCCACTCCCACCATCCTCCACGTTGTCGCCTCCATTCTCGCTCTCCTCATCCCCATTACCATCCGCCTTCTTATCCCCCTTCCCATTCCCATCCCCAACCCCATCCCCATCCCCGTCCCCATCCCCATCCCCATCCCCATCCGCGTTCCCATCCCCATCCCCATCCCCATTCCCATCCCCGTCCCTATCCGCGTTCCTATCCCCATCCCCATTCTCATCCCCATCCCCATCCCCATCCCCATCCCCATCCCCATCCCCGTCCCCGTCCCCGCCCCTGATGGCAGCAGCAGCAGTGCCTGTATCTGCTTCTCCCTGCAACCACCGACGTCTCTTAGCACTGTGCGCATCAGCAAAGCCCGAATCTGGTTCTCTGCGCAACCACCGGCGGCTCTCCGCAGCAGCTCCAGCAGCAGCAGCAGCATTGCTCACATCAGCAGTGCCTGTAACAGCATCGCTCACCTCCTTTGTACCATCAGACCCTCTCTCTGCTTCACCGCGCAACCACCGACGGCTCTCCAATAGCTCAACATCAGCCGCAGCAGCAATCGCAGCAACATTCGCAGCAGCATTTGCAGCAGCAGTCGCAGGCACAGCCATGGTACTACGGCGATGGTAGTGACCGTCACGGTCACTAAAGTCTCCTCCTCGCCATCCGTCCGTGTCTGTACTCGCGACAGCGGTCGTCACGCCAAGACGACGATCCCTACCCTCGGGTAACCCGTTGTCGCTCGGTTTCGCGGAGGCAATGGATTTTGAGCGCACAACAGTACTATGGGTTAGGGACGGTGCATGGTCAACATTCAGCTGATTGGTAGGTAAACGACGGGGTAAACTTCGTGAAGGTACGCTAGGTCTGTCCTCGTTATTGTCATTTTCGTGACCAATAAAATTAACCCATACGTCTGTTACTCGGTCAGGTAACCCTAAAACTGAGACCACGAGGAGGGCTGCGACAAGCAAAAACGGCAAGAACCACGCACGCACTGGGTACGCGCTAGTGACGTACCCCGAATTACCCATTTCAGCGACTATAATGTATATGGTGGAGCATCGTTCAGGCTTCGCGAGAAACGCGCCTCGACCAAAGACTAGTGGTTCCTAGGACTCGTAGTCCCGTGAAGGCTGCCCTTACCTACCAACTGGTAATTCCGTTGGGGAAATTGATCGTCTCACAAGCGCCACAGGAGACGGGATGCGAAAGCGGTTTAGGCGAAAACCTTTGAAGGGGGTAGTTGATGTTTTGCGAAGTAAAATGCTCGTCGGCCTGCCTGAGCGCAAGCAGAGAGCCTCGCCAACGTTTCGTCCAAGCGAAAGCAAAAAGCTGAAGACTGCACAGGCACGAATTGCTGCGAGAAGGAAACACACATCGCTGTACCTCGACCGTTTCACCATCCCAACAGATGCACGGTTACCCCAAGCACCTTTCACCAATAAACACACTTATGGGCAATTCCCAATGCCAGCACCGCCATATGCCAGACCTGGCAAAAATGCCTCTGGCACAGATTTTTCCATAGCTTCCACCTTATTCCGTCCCACCCAGCGGCTGATGATCATCATTCGCTTTTCAGGGCGTTCCTTCCTTCCACTCGTCGTTCAACCACGCGTATCAATCTGCAGTTTCGCCTCTGTCCTCTCTGACCCATCTTCGCAAGTCTCCTCGCGTTCCTTCCCTCCACTCTCTCGCTATCTCCACCTATCCATCTCACCAGCTCTGCTCGTGTCGCGAGTGGCACAAACAGCTGCGCTTACCACAATCTGCCGCCAGAGATAATTAAATTACTTAAGTTTCAATACGAGTTCGCAACCAGCATTTCTTTATCCACCACTTAGTCGCCGAATTCGCTCGATGATCCCTGGAAGTCAATCAACATGGCGACAGGCTAGTGGAGTCCGAATCGCGAGCCAATGAGATCGATGCACGTGGCTACGAGGCTGCTCTAACGGCACTTTCCGGCTTGATTAATCCACAGAAGCGCGCCGATGGCCGAAACTGGGCGGATGATTTCGCCCTCATGCGCTCTTACGTTAAGGTTGGTCTGCTGAATCTTCCAAGCTGAGATCTGGTGACTCCTCAAATCTAAGGATTTAAGTGACTCCGTTAAGCTAGAGTTGCTCTGGGGACTCGTTCTAAGTCGACAGGCCACGACAGGCACCATTTTAGTGTCAGGTCTCTGGTGTATTTCTGATTCATTGAGTGAATTTGGCATGACAAATCCCCAGAAGTTTTCGTTTCCATCCCTGTTATCTATCTTCTGCGCGCTGACATCTGTGTTAGGTTCTTGACCTGGAGGGGCCAGTTGACCAGCTCAGCATCATCCACGTGGCAGGCACCAAAGGCAAGGCAAGTAAGCAACACGCTGTCATGGCACAGATCGCCCCTGTCGTTGCACTGATCACCCCTGTCTGGTCACGAACCATTGCACTTCATTCCCGCCGTGTGCACTCCTCCCTCAGTCATGTGTGCATATTGCATAAGGCAAACGCTGTACTCCTCTTGCTCTTCTTTCTCTCCTCCTCTAATCTCCAAGCTTCCGGCCCCAACAGCGATCCGCGTGCGCCATGGCGGAGAGCATGCGGGGCTCTTCACCTCTTGAGCCAAACCAAAAGTCCTCTCATTCATATACCTCCCCCTCCTCCCCCTCAGGGCTCCACGTGCGCCATGGCGGAGAGCATGCTGAGGGCCAGCGGGCACACCACGGGGCTCTTCACCTCGCCCCACCTCGTGGATGTCAGAGAGCGGTTCCGCCTCAACGGGTGTGTGGGTGAAGGGTTGAATTGTGAAGGTTGAGTGGTGGTAAAGATTGCAGGATTTTCCAGCTACCTACAAATGATGCGCCTTGGTGAAAGGAGAGTGGTGAAGGGGGAGTGATGAAGGGGGAGTGATGAAGGGGGAGTGATGACGGGGGAGTGATGAAAGGGGAGTGGTGATGGGATATGCTCTGTGCCGTGCTTTGTCTTCATAATAGCACCCTCTTTGTCCACCTCCGCTGTAAATCCTAAATTGGATCTTATCTTCAGGGAGATGGTGCCAGTTGATACGTTTCTGCAGCACTTCTGGTGGTGCTACGACCGCTGCAAGGTGGGAGATATGTGCTAGGGGGCAGGTGCTAGGGGGCAGGTGCAAGGTGCGAAGCTGAAATGTACCTTTCAAATACACAGATATGTACGGAAAAGAAAGTGCACAGGATGCTGAGTAGCATGATAGCCCATCCCATTCCCCCATTCCGCCCCTACATCCCTCCAGGCAGCAGCGTCCCCTCCCTCCTCCCCCATCCCCATGCCATCTACTTCCGCATCCACCCTTCCCCACCCCTCCAGGCAGCAGCCTCGTCTTCCTCCTCCCCTATCCCCATGCCGGCCTACTTCCGCTTCCTCACTCTGCTCGCCCTGCGAATCTTTTCACACTCTCAGGCAAGCCCCTCACAAGCCTCTCTCTCATTCACTGCTCCCTCTACCACGCCCAGGCAAGACCTTCTCCCTCACTGCTCGTTCAGACACCTTCTCCTTCACGTTATCTTTGGTACTATGCTACGTGTAAGTGCGTCATTTGACCTTATGTTTTGCGCTAAGTGTAAGCGCATGATTTGACCTTATGTTTTGTACTGAGTGTAAGCGCGCAATTTGACCTTATGTTTGGGTGACTATGGCAGGTTGACGTGGCAATTCTGGAGGTGGGGGTGGGAGGGCGATATGACGGTACCAACGTTGTGAGTGCCCGGTATGCTAGTTGTTCTATCATCCCCTCTCTGTTTGTCGGTCTATCCAAGAATCTGTCCATCCGAGATGACTTTTGAATCCACTCAAAAGTCACCAACATTGTGAGTGCCTGGTATGCTAGTTGTTCTATCATGCCCCCTCTGTTCGTCTATCCGTCGGCCTGTCCATCCGCTGGTCTGCCTGTCTCTGCCTGTCTCTGCCTGTCTCTGCCTGTCTCTGCCTGTCTCTGCCTGTCTCTGCCTGTCTCTGCCTGTCTCTGCCTGTCTGCCTGCCTGCCTGCCTGCCTGCCTGCCTGCCTGCCTGCCTGCCTGCCTGCCTGCCTGCCTGCCTGCCTGCCTGCCTGCCTGCCTGCCTGCCTGCCTGCCGTGTGCGTCCCCCGTCGCCCTCTACCCCATCAGGTCAAGCGCCCGGCAGTGTGTGGCGTGTCATCATTGGGATTCGACCACATGGAGGTGCTGGGTGAGTTGGGGGTGTGCGGGGCGGTTCAGAGGTGTGCTGGGGTGGTTGGAACTGTGCTGGGTGGGTTGGAGTTATGCTCTGTCTCAGTCTCATTCCCTCGAATAGTCCTTTGTATTGATCATCATTCCCTCTCTCTCTCATTCCCTTCTATGTGTTCTCTCGCTTCCACCACCCTATCCTCTGCCTCTGCATAACTTCTCTCTCATAACTTCGATGTGTTCTCTCTTCTGCTTTCATTTTCATCCCCATCCAATTCCCATTCCCATTTTCATTCTCATTCTCTCTCTCTGTCCTTGCCTTCTGTGAGTTCTCTTCCGCCACCTCATTCTCTACCTCTGCAAAACCTCCAGGAAACACTCTTGCTCTGATAGCTGGCGAGAAGGCTGGGATATTCAAGGTGAGAGCGAGAGGAGGCTTGGAGGGTCTGTGATGACTGGTACGAAGGACCAGTCACGAGGAGGGCTGGAAGAGGCGAGGAGAAGAGGGGTACATTGTAGGGCAGGAGAAAGTTGAGAAGGGGGAGGGAGTAGAGGCTTGGGAGATTGTGGAGGAGGGCGTGTGGAAGGTGTGTGGAGGGCGTGTGGAGGGCGTGTGTAGGGCGTGTGGAGGGCATGTGGTGGAGGGCATGTGGATGGCATGTGCAGAGCCGAATGGACAGCAGTGGGTTTCTTTGTTTCCCCTCCTCCCCGAGCCTCACTCTCACCCTTTAGCTGTGTCACCCCCCAGACGGGAGTGCCAGCAGTGACATGCCCCACAGGAGGAGGAGGCGATAGGGGTTCGACTGGGCATAATTAGATGCCATCCTCCCCCCCCCCCATGTCGCCCAGGCAGCAGTGCCGGCAGTGACAGCGCCACAGGAGGAGGAGGCGATGGAGGTGCTCCGGCAGCGAGCAGCATTCAGATGCCCCCGCTCCTCCCTCTTCTCCCCCTTCTCCCCCTTCATCCCCCAGGCAGGAGTGCCAGCTGTGACAGCCCCACAGGAGGAGGAAGATGGAGGTGCTCCGACAGCAAGCAGCACTCATTTGCCATGGCACTCATTTGCGAGCAGCCCCTCACACCCCCTGTCCCCATCCCACTCCCCCACGCCCCCACGCCCCACGCCCCACACCCCGCACTCCCATGCCCCCCAAACAAGAGTGCCGGCAGTGATGGCCCCACAGGAGGAGGAGGCGATGGAGGTGCTCCAGCAGAGAGCAGCACTCAGATGCAACGACTTTATGTGGCAGGCCCCCATACACTATGCCTCCATGCCCCCCCTCCGCCAACTTTCCCCACGGTTCTCCCTTGCCTCCCAGGCAGGAGTGCCAGCAGTGACAGTCCCACAGGAGGAGGAGGCAATGGAGGTGCTCAGACAGCGAGCAGCGGCGCTGCAGGTGTGTTAGAGGTGTGTGTGCTGGGTGTGTGCATGTGTGTGTATGTTACCACCAACTCGTACGGCACCAGTGACATCACATCTGCGAGAGGGGAGAGGGCCTGACAGGGCATTGCCATAGGAGCAAGAAACATCTAATCGATCTCGTAATTCCATCCATTCCCATACCCGTGTTGGAGTAATTTTCTTACCTTTTAAACTTGTAGCTTCACCCTTTCTCCATTCATCTTTCTCTTCTGCTGCCTGTTTCCTCCTCTTTGACTCGTAGATTCCTCTAGAGGTGGCAAAGCCGTGGCACGAGATGGCGCCAGGTGTCCGCGTGGGATTGGCTGGAAAGCACCAAGAGATCAATGCGTCGCTGGCTGTCTCTCTCTGCCGCCAGTGGGCCCTGCGCAGCGGCAGGGAAGAGGAGGCCCAGGCCATTGATCAGGTGAGGTCCAGTACGGTGCTGTTAGGTTCTGTGAGGTGCTTCGAGGTGTTGTGGCAGCAAGGCACCACCAGATCAACGCGTCGCTGGCTGTCTCTCTTTGCCACCAGTGGGCCATTCGCAGCGGCCGGAAATCTGAGGCGCTTGCAGGTGAGGTCCAGTGCGGTGCTGTGAGGTGCTGTGGGAGCATGACTGGGCAGCAGCACATCAATGTCCTGTTGAAGTATACTTAATCCCACTGGCACATTCCCACACTCCCACTGGCACATTTCCACTGGCACATTCCCACACTCCCACTGGCACATTCCCACTGGGAATATCCCAATGTCCTATTGGGGTAGACTTTAATAGGACTGCAATAGTGGCCTCAACCGCGACTCCCATTTCCTTTCCTTTCCCTCCCCTTGAATCTCGCACCTGATTCGCTTCCGGCCAGTAGGACGTTGCCATGTCACCTCATGCGGCCTCTATCTGACTTCCCCGCTCATTCCCGTTGTCTAATCGGTTTTTCTTGTCTTTTTCCCCCCTCCACCTGGCTCAGGCCCTGACCAATAAGACACTGCCACCTGCCTACATCAGAGGGCTAGAGAGTGTTTCCTGGCCGGGCAGGTGCGAAATTTTGCACGACTGCCTGGCCGAGCGTGGGCAGGCTGGAGGTGCAGGCGGGCAGCTGACATTCTTTTTGGACGGTGCCCATACAGTGGAGAGCATGGAGGTGTGCGGAGAGTGGTTCTGCGATGCCACTCAAAATGTAGGGGCAGATGAAGGGGCAGCTGGACGGGCAGATGGACGGGCAGGTGGAGGGGCAGGTGGAGGGGCAGATGAAGGGGCGAATGGAGGGGCAGATGGACGAACAAATGGTGCACGAGGAGGCAAGGAGAGGGAGACGGAAGGGGCACAAGGAGGAGCAGTAGTGGGGTTAGTTGCAGACACTGCAGCAGCAACAGGAGTACAAGGAGTAGCAGCACGTGTGCAAGAGTCAAGCCAAGTGGGGGGCAAGACACCTGTGCGGGTAAGTTTTGAGTTGACTTGCAAGAGGTGACTTTTGAGTCGACTAGGTGACTTTTGAGTCGACTTTTGAGTCGACTCAAAAGTCATTTCTTCTGAGTCGACTCAGGAGTAGCAGCAGGTGTGCAAGAGTCAAGCCAAGTCCTCTCCCTCGCCCACAACCACAGCTGCTGCTGCTCAACTAAAAAAGGTAACAGCAGCAGCAGCAGCAGCAGCAGCAGCAGCAGCAGAGGCTTTTTTCCTCCTTCATTCAACTGCTGACCCCCTTTCCCTCTGCCCTGCTCTTGTCTCTCATCACAGGTACTGCTGTTCAACTGCATGACTAAAAGGGACCCACGCACACTCATGGCACAGCTTC